ACCAGCACCCCAAGCAACATAATTTGGAGCAATCAAGCTCAGATCTCTCCCCAGGTTACACAAGGGACAGCAGGTCAGGAGGGCTGCAACCAAACCGTCCCTCGACTTCCCCAGTTCGATGGGGCGGCCGATGAGGAGGACCAGCAGGAGGAGAAAAAGGCAGAGGAAGCCTCTGACGGAGGCCATCATGATGTGACAGACGCCCAAGCCAACGGTTCTTCAAGTGACGCGTTCGCTCCTGAGGAGGCTGCGGTACGTGCTTGCCCTTCAACCTTTTTTATTTGGTTTACTTTTATATCGTATTTGTGATCAATGCAGTTGATTTTGCGGATTCTTTCCTCAGCGTATTACACTTAAATTGTTTGTAATAAACTAGACCGCTACTTTTACTGTGTAGGTAAGAATCCGCGAATATTATCGAATACACTTACGTCGTTGAGTGCTATTGCAGTTCTTATCCCTTCATTCCGGATCACTAATAGTGTTTTCACAAACGCCTGTATGCCCATGTATGCCCCTAAATCTTTAACATTGCCGACAAAAATTATTTCATCCAAGCCACGATGGCTAACTGCAGTTCTTTTAAACTATTTTGTTACTGTGGTCTGTTAGTGCTGAATGCGCAGCTTATGGTACATGTTCAAGTAAGTGTAGACATAATCTTCAGTCCCCGAGTTTTCCATTTGGTGTGGCTTTCTGTTGGCTTTCAGCACTGACATTTATGATTACCCCTTTGTTCGGGTTTTCCGCCTGGTTAAATCCTTTTTCGGTCAGATATTCTTATTTTTCCATCAGTATTACAACGCTACCTAGCAAGTTTTATTCAGACATCTTAACGTCCTTTGAAGGGATCCTACCCGAGCTAAATGACAGCGTTCGATCACCTTTGTCTTTACGTTTTTAGGTAGGCGCTCTGGTAGAAGGTATGGCCGCTGAGGCGGCCGCCCAGCTTCTGATGGAGGCCGTTGAGGACTCAGCCATATCTCAGCCAAATGCGAATGACCCAGAAGCTTCTGCTGTAGAGGAGAGTACCAGTCATCCTTTGGTGGCCGCCTCTGCCGACGATCAACCAGAAGACAGCAGTTGTAAGACTTTTTGAGTATCTTCTTTAAATTAAAGCACAGTTTTATGTCTGTGGATGTATGATTTCTGGAGGTTATTGGTACACTGATAGCTTCCTTCTGACCATAATCCCTAACATTCGGTTGCGAGAATAAACCTAACTGAAGAATACAGAGAGCACACCGTTAGCACCAATTTCTGAGTGATGTAGTTACAGCAGACATACTTCAAGCCCGTTCATATTCTCTTCTAAACTTTAGGCGGAGCTGCAAAGCCGATAAATGATCCCCTTGAGACCTTGGCATCTGTTGCTGCTAGACGTGGGGAAGACTTCGAAGGTACTCTGTGATGTTCGAGTATTTTGAGTATTTTTTGCGTTTAACCCTCCAAGTTAATCTCCAAAGTTGCTTTTAGCGTTTTGTTGCGGAGAGATGTACGATATACTTGTGGGCTTTCAATAGTTACTTATGCCCATGTATTTTTGTCTGATACATTTTATTCTTGGTCCTGAATTAACCTGCGATCCACAGATGAAATACAAGAGGCTGCGACTTCGGCTGCCGAAAGGAAACAACCAGTAACCTCGACGTCCGTCCCACCACAACAGCCACAGGTACATCCTCGAACCATTGGAGTCACCGTTGGTAACCTTACAATGCAGCCTTCGCCCCAAACACAGTTAAACAATGCTACTAACAATCCCATTTTGGTGCCAAGCTTGAACGCAGTTGGGCAAGGATCACAATTGATTCAACCCTCCACCGCGCCGCAACCCACAACAAATGTTGTGCTAGCCAACCGGTCGGACAGTGCTTGGCACGATGTTGGTATCATAAAGGCGACCAATTTCACCGTGACGGCATACAGCGCCTATACGAATGATGTAGGCGTTAGTGTGGAGGTACTTCAAAATTACCCTTTCATTCCTGTTAGCGACTCCTTGTTGTTCCAGATTTTTTTCTTTGCTTTCATTTTCGTTTCTGCTTAATGCCTCACACTTTTTTGCATTCTCCTAACCGACCTACATGTTGTAATATCAGCGGTCCGTAAATATTTTCTGTCTTGCTTATTCATTTAGGCTATTGAGGCTCTTCAAGGTCCTAACGGAATCGGTCCGACAGGTATTGCCACCCAAGGCCCGAAAATACCTCTTTCACCTGGCACGGCTTACAAGTTCCGTGTAGCTGGCCTTAACGCCTGCGGTCGCGGCCCATGGTCTGAAATCAGTGCATTTAAAACCTGTCTCCCCGGATTTCCTGGGGCTCCGAGTGCCATAAAGATAACAAAATCGGAGAATGGTGCACAACTAACATGGGAACCTCCACAAAACACATCTGGTCGTATAATTGAATACTCAGTATACTTGGCAGTCAAAGCCCAGCCTGGGAGTGGCAAGGAGTTACCCGAGTCAAAGGTACGTAGTACAACTTTGTTGGTCTCATTTTATTCTGCGAGCATCCCTTCTAAGTGTGATTAAATTCACGGCTCACGGTGAGCCTCGTAGCCCAATGGTAGAGCGTTGGCTGCGCAAAAGCTTTCCCTGCTGTGTGGGTTTGACTCCCACTGAGGCCACCAGTTTTCCACAACTGGGTCAACTGAATCACTCAAATCTACCAAACCCTCATAATACATAATTTTTAATCTTTTAGATGGGAACAATGCCTTCTGGGATGGCGTTTGTCCGCGTTTACGCTGGTCCTGCACCGACAGCTTTAGTCAGTTCCGCAGTGCTTGCGAAAGCCCATCTGGACGTCAGTTCCAAACCTGCTGTAATATTTCGCATTGCAGCTTGCAACGAAAAAGGTTATGGACCAGCAACACAAGTCCGTTGGTTACAAGAGGCTCATTCTGTAGCAGGGGGGAATGCCGTGTCTCCCTCGGCATCTATAAAGAAGACATCGCCTGGTGGGGCTATGCCGCCCTCAGAGCCAGTCGAGGGGTAAGACCATCTTAAACATATTAAACGCCGTCGCAGTACTGTTTGACTGAATTCTGTAAGATATCCTTAATCAGAAATTATTATATCGGCAATGCCGCCGGCATATCTATTGTTGATCGTTGTTCAGAGGCAAGCGCAGTACCCCTCCTTTGGATTGAGCGTCTCCACAACCCCCTGCAAATCACACACAAAGGATTTAACTTATTGGACAAAGTGTACTTCATTGTTTCGAATGTTCGTATGAGCTCTTTCGTGTCTCTGAGGAATTCATTTCTAATATTTATTTCTTTAGTAACTCGCACGTCCAGATGTATCTTCAAGGAATGAGTGTTTTTCGGTTTTGCGAAGTTTGTAAATATGACTGCTTTTAATGTGCTCGCAATTTTTTCGAAGTAACCTTCTATTCAGAGCATGAAACCAAATTTGTTTTATGCTTTCATCAGTCATTTTAGCTCGGTACCATCAGTTTTTCGGTCCCATATTTTTATGCTCTTCACGAGCTTCTTCATGAGAAACTAAGACGTTGTGTGCTTAGATTTTAGGCAGAAAAATATAATTTTGAAAATGTAGGAACAGTAAAACACATTTTTGGAACATAATATTGTTCACCGGAACGGCTTTGTTCTCAGATTTCTCTACCGAAACTCCCACTTTCGCGAACTCAAAAACACATTGTTTCTCAAAATATACAGGAATTAGCAAGCATTGAAAACTAAAATTGATAGCCCGAGTATAAAATTTGAAGTGTTGCACCTTCTTAGGAAACAAGCATAAGCACGCAACTTTTGGTAACATTTTTTTTGGAAAAGTGATTCTTTTATGTAAAAGCATCTAAATTACCACAGAAAGTTCCTAGTCGAGTTGGTCCAAACAGTCAATAGAAGGACTGTATTGGCTTTGTTACTCGGCCGTCCATCCTTCTTTATCTTTGCTATTGGAAAACATACTTCAAGAGTTTGGACAATCCTCCATGCGTTTAGGCGCTTAATGTATATCACTTGATTCACCACAAAGCGCCTTCAGTATGCCCAATATGAATGTTCGTCTTTCTTTTTTAACTTTTAGATCTTTTTCTTCTCCTGTAAAGCGCTACAAAGCAGATGAACACCCCTAATTTTGGCATTTGATCTCCCTCTCCCCTCCGTCACTTTGCTTGGCACAAATTTGTAATTAAGTTCTCCATCATCTACCTGGTCCTTATCAAGTTATAAATTAAGTCCCGCGGAAAATTTTCATACAAGTCATGCTGTTATTTTTTAATTTCCCGGCCATTCGGGAAGACTGGCCGTAATTGTATTTCTGTGGTAGCGTAATCGTGGACGATATTTTATTCCGGCCCATTATCGCGCCACCTTTTTGTAAATAAATCCGCTAGTATCTGTTGCGCCGCTTTCATTTTTTTGACCAGTGGAGTCTAGAAGCTAGTTCTCCAGTAATTTTTTCACTTTTAAATGGTACTTATCAGTTGAAGTTAATATACATTTTAGGAATGTGGTTTCTGCGTACAAATTTTCATGAACTTTAACAAAAGCTGTCCGCATAGGTTTTATACATTTACTCAAGAGAAAGTTCCGATATTATAAGTGGAAATATTTATTTCATCTGTGGTTTTTATTTCGTCGGGTCTCACGAATTAAGGAATCTACATTAGCTTGGTTGTGTGGATGTGCATCTAAAATCATCAGAAAGTGACTGAGGTACAGGAACGTTTTCCTCCAGTCTCCTGCGGGATGCAGAACTGCGTCCTCGGTTTCTGGCAGTGGGAGAATAGATGCCATATTTCTAAAAAGAAACACAATTTACTGCCGTGGTTAATTTGCCCCCGCTTGTTTGCTATGTAGTCGCACCAGTGTTAGTTTTGGGCAAAGATCCCGCTTTTAAATTGTTGGTGATGGTCTAATCGGTCGCCATAAGCGCTAGGCAACTGGATTGTCACCTCCCCGTCTCGTGTCTAGTCTGCCTCTGCACTTTGCCCTATAAACTCTGAGGTGACTATCACGGGTTACCCACGGGTGCTCTCGTCAGGTAGTAAGTGCGCTTACCAATATTTAAGTGTTCGCTTTTCGCGGACTCTCGACTCTACCTAGGTCGGAGCAATTAGATTTTTCGGAATCGTCCGTCAGATGGTATGTTGTTTGCCTACTACCCTGGCGGGCCTCATGCGCTTATCTCATCTAAAACTTGGGATTATTGAGTTGCTTCCCACCGACGCTAAATAACCTAAACTGGTAGTTATCCTTTTGCCTGGCCTTGGCCGCTTGATGCTCTGCCATAAACTATACGGGAAATAAAATGTGCATACTGTGCTGTGCTGAATGCCAGTTTGGTTTTCTTTTGCTTGTCAGCATTTTGTACACTGCGGAAGTCGAAGGCAGTAGGGAAGAAGTGGTGGACCAGAGCGCATAAAGCAGTGCCGTCCGCCCAGGACGTTGAGAAGTTTGTGACTGCCACTCCCTAAAATATAAATTGCAATGATTTTCTCCGGCGCGGATGAGGTATTAGAGAGCGTGAGCAACTCAACATTTATGCTCAGCAAGTTTCCCTTCTAACTAGGAAGTTACCCCTGCCGCTTATGTCTTGTAAAATGACTGCTCTAGACAATACTATCGGGCTTGGCCTGGGCTTGTATGGCCGGGTTTTAACGACAACGTGCATCTCGATCAGTGACACTATCAGCAACCGCTTTTCTCTATCCGTGGGCATATCGACTGACGCAGGAAAAACAGTAGCGTGAAGTAGATTTAGAATTTAATGGCGAGTACGCTTGATCGGTTCCGCCAGTTAATTCACCACTATTTGATGATCAAGGATATGAGATCGGCTTTGACCATGCCTCTAATAGGAGAAGCCAATGAGCTATGAGACAATTTGTTTGATACGTAGGACAGGTTGCACTAAGATGACTGTTTCTGTGGCAAAACGAAGCGTCCGTTCGGGAGCGTGTGTTTGTTTACGCGCATTTTTATGT